GGCACTGCTGGGGCTTTCCTCTACCTACCCACAAAGGTGAAACGCTCCATGGGTGGGCGAACGCAGCAAATCCGGCTCAGGCTTTCTCCCACCTTCCCCAGGATCTTTGCTAAAGGTGAAGAAGAAAAAAAATAACCGGAGAGGCCACGATGCCCTGGCAAGACTGACCCGCACGAACGCTTCGGCCACCCTGATCCTGTGAGATACTCCTGCGCCCAGGTGCGGGAGCTGCTCTCAGCATCTCCCCACCGCCGCCTCTCGTGGTCCTAACTCCTGAGATTGCTACGCTGTGCCTTGAAGAGACCAGCTGGACAGCTAGAATCACTAAAAAACAATCACAAGATGTTTGGTTTTATGGGATTTAAGTAATCCCCCCTCTTCTCCCCAGGTAATACCTCCATGTCTCACATTCCACCGGCTTGTGGGGGATCCAGCTGTGACACCTCTCCTGCCAGCTTGTCCCTTGCACCCACCCCACGGGTACCAGGTAGCCTTTCTCTTAGCTGCTTTCACTGCCTGAACATCACCCAGCTAAAGACCAGTGAGATTTCACAGCCATTTTAAGCCGTTCTCGGCTCCCCTTGCTGTGCTGGATGCTAACTCCTCCATCACATCCCCACCCGACCCTGGGCTCAGTGCATGGAGCCTGATGAGCAACCTGACCCAAAAATAAGATGATGGCGCGCCGTTGCTAGCGCTCGGCAGCCCTGGTTGGGAGGCGAGGGTTGGGTGGTCATCCCTCCTCTTCCCTACCCCGCGGCCACCTACCTGCGGTGGGCTTGTTGGAGACGTTGTTGTTGTTCTGGTAGATGGTCTGTGAGGACTCGTTCTGGGGCTGGCCGATCACGGGGGTGATGGAGGGGGTGTTGACGTTGGAGAGGATGCAGCCGGTCACTCTCTGCAATGAGGGAGAGATGTAGCTGGAACAGCGCCTTCACCCCTTTTGCCTCCCAAAACCTTTACGACCCTTGTATTGAGCCTCCGCACCCCAGCCTGAAGGTCATCTTCGGTGACAGGTATGTCCAAGCTCACGTCTGGGCTGCTTAATGCTCCTTCTGTGCCTCCTTTTTGGGCTGCCCGTGAGTTTGTATGATGTTGTCTTCCTGGTTTCCTTGCTATGTCCCCGTGTTGGCAGCAGCCCTTCCCTCCCGCTCCCTGCAGTCACCCGAGGGCAGCCGCCTTCCTCCTGGGCTCTCAGGCCTGCCTGGGCTTTGGAAGGACTTTTCCTCCTGGGTTTTGTGCTCCCTGGAGACTTCCCAGCTGCTGAACTTTCCCGCCTCGCTGAGTCGCTCCGGCGGGTTCATACAAGCAGTTTCGGCTCAGCTGGTGGGCGGGGACGCCCGTCCACCTCCCCTTCCCCTTGGGATGGAGCAAGTTCAACAAAGTTTTGAGGTTCAACAAGGCCAAGTGCCGGG